TGTTTACTCGCGATCTATCCACTTTGCGCTTAATAGGCCACTTCCGAGTTGTCTTTTGTGTGTCTCAAAACGAATCTCTGAGTGAACCATTCATATCAGGGAAATATGTGCTTCAATTTCAAGCAAATCAAACTCATCTTCATAAGAAAGGTTTTGCACGAAGACTCCTTTTGAAACAGAGGCACATGGTAACTTGGAAATGGTCTATTTGTCGTTGTAGGTGCCTTGGTTTATTAAATGGCATAGTGGGGGCGGAGGTGGGGTTGGGAGATTTCAAAGTTTAAGCCGCCAACTCACCGGATTGCAATTTTTTACAACAATGACTAATCCGAAAGAAAAGACGGGGCGATTTGAAAACGCTGTTCGGAGTCAGTAATTTAAGAACACCGTTTTGCTGTTGCTGTGGGAAACAGATTCCTTTCGACAAGGTTTTTTTTTTTTTTTTTAAAGTATTCAAACTCAGCGCATGCTCGTCCGACGTTACGCGTTTTCAGGTGGTGTTTAGCGTTATAGTGTGGAATGGCTATGTTATTGCTAATACATTGTACGGGTCCCCTGTGGTGTGGACAAGAATATGTGGAGAAATTGCCAGAGATGCTTTTTAGTGCGAAACTCCGAGGGACGGAGAACTCTTAGAATATTGAGCGCGGTAGTTCAAGTAAGCTAAATGTTAACGTTAGCTGTATAGTTCCTTGTCTAAAACACGCGCATCAAATGTCAACTTGTCATCTGTTGGACAAAATATGAAGATGGCTGTAAAGGAAAAATGATAAGGTGGTCCGATAGACTAAACAACGACGACGTTCAGGAAAAATGCCCTTTTTTTTAAAAAAAATATATAAGATTTAAAGCCCTTGAACACTTGTAAAAAGCATTTTGAAACGATCTTGCAGAATTTGCTTCTAGATGAGTGTGAAATTCAAGGAAAGTACACAGTGGTATAATTACGTAGCAACGGCCATAGCGACGGTTGTTTACAGTCAGAAAGTCACCACAGATATAGATCAGTGTTCAACAAAAATGAACAACAGTTTATAGAAACGCTATTAAGACATGTACAACTCGATGATTGTAATTACCTGCATGTGAAAAGCGGTGCCTGAATCACCATCACAGGCTCATTCATTTCCCTTATAAAAAGTGATATTTCCTACAACTGCGGTAACTTTTTACAAAATGCAACAACCATTACACTCCCCCCGATATGCAGCCTGCAACCCTCCCCAATCCATCGTGTAAGAAACTTTAAGTGCATTTTCCCCAAACGTCTACTTTTGTACTAACTGTCTTCACGCCAACATTTCTACTTTGGAAAGTATTTAAGAGGAATTCTTGAAACTTGGGGTACTCAAAGTCTAATAGTGTCGTGATGCAATCAACAAAAAAATCGAAACATTTTAGCATCTGTCACGTGACACTAGATAATTTGTTCGCTGGGCTTGGTGCAAAACAAGGTTATTTCGAAATAAAGCTTGTAAAAAGCACTGAAAACAGCTTTGGTTGATTGCACAGAACGAAACAGAAACTTACAAGATGTGCTTGTTTGAAAGTCAGATCAAATGCTTATAAATTAAAAGAGCAGGAACTGTTGGCGTCAATGCTATAAATTAAAACCTCAAAAGGGTGTGGTGGTTGCCATAGCAACCATTTTAAGTAAGACCTTCAAAATTTATTTTCTTGAAGAAGCCACATCGACAGGGGGCCTGAGAACGACTTTCTACAAAACAAAGATGGAGCCAGTTTTGGTTTCCAATTTGAACGATCCATCTTCGGACATGAATTGTTTAGTTTGCAATCAAAGATTGGTTTGGCCATATATGGAATTGAAAATCCGGATTTGGCTTGGTTGAAAGGAACGCTACCTGAGCCTGAATTGCCTCTGTCCTTCTCTCCGGTGTTACAAGGGCTCTATCGTGTTTGTTAATTTGCATATTCGACGGGGTACGTATTTGGATCGCAGCGTCTCAAAACAAAGATGGCGTCGTATGCCACGGTTTCATGACGGTAAATTTCCGTACTAACTTCCAAGTAGAAGCGCGAAGGCAATTTTAATGAGTTCGAAATATGGAAAGGAATAAACGTAAAGAAGACTCGACCGATGAGAAGGAGGGTAAATAAATAATATAGAAGCAATGATATCCGTCCTCTTCCGGGTTTATTACACAGCGTTTCAGTCGCAAGAAACTTTTAAAGTCTGAAATCAAAGGTCTCCCTGAAAAAACCACCGTACTACTGATCATCATGGACAACCAGTATTAAATGTACTTTCACGTTTATAGTATGGATATACCGCTGTTTCAGCCAAATTTATCGCTTATTAAATTAACATTCTGGTCTAGAGGCATTGTTTTGGTGCAACTTTTGCGATTTCAAACTTGGATAGCACAATTGAATATAAGCTTATTTTGGGAGTAGGCTTATTGAATAGGTATGTGACAATTTTTCATGGAAACGATATCTGATATGTTGGTAACCCAGTTACTTTATTACCCTTATCGAGCAGTGTATAACTGAAGCTTGATAATTTCACGCTTTTCCCGTTCGGAACCGCTCCGTTCTTTCGATACCGGAAGATTTCATTTTACATGTTAACGAAAAACATATAAGGTGAAGAGTGGACAGCGGCTGAGATGAGGGGATATGCAACTGAACTAAAACGTGTACATAGATTTGTCTGTGTTTCGATAAAATTCGACTTTGTTTCGAGCTGAAAATGATTAAGCTGCATCACGTTTTGAGGAAAATAATAAATTTTAAAAATAGCCAAAAAAAAAAAATGGCAAAACGATATATATATATATATATTGATGACGCCACTACTGCTCGTTAACGTTGAAATACAGTATAGCGCTCTACAGTAAGATGAGTCACGATTTTTGACAGTCGATTCGGATATAAAATTACCGTCGTTGAAGTGCTTTCATGATTCCACCTGTGTGTCGATATCATTTGTCAAGACCCACGCCAAGGCAAAACATTGTTTACATTAGCCCTCCGCACTCATGTGACTGCGTGGATTTGTCTGGGAAGGAGAGGGGAGGCCAAGTGCAGGGTCAGGAGTGTCTCTGCAATCTGTTCATGATTAATTTTCGTTTCAGTTTCACAAGATAAAACGGGGGAATTGTGATAAGTATACTCTGGAATAAAATAATGTATTCGGAGCTCTGAATTATTTTTTCTGAGTTACATTCGGGTCTGTCTAATTCTCAAAACATAAGAACCTACAAGCCGCCTAGAATAATTACTACCCTCTCTTCCCCCCACCCCCCCCCCCCAACAAAATGACGCTCACGGACATTGAAACAGACACCAGGTGAACGAAAAATGTTGGTCTGATGCCGAGTGCGAGAGACATATCAAAGTATTTACGGTCAGTGTTTATAAATACAATCCAGGTTGTTTATCATTCACATCACGTACGCAGCATTCTTGGAAGAGGAAGTTGTTTGCCCTGCATTAATATTTAAATACGTTTTCGGTTTCGCCTTTCTATGAAGCACCGGGCTATTTTTAGCCATTCTGAGAACACTAAAAAATATTACCGCGAAAAAGTTGGAATTCTTAGAGAGTCCATCTGACCAGTTCGTTGTTTTTGGTAATTTTCATCGCCGGCTTCAACGGGCATTATAGTGTTGTCTGAGCCGGGACACAACAGCAAAATGTTCCTGAATTTGGAGGACAAGATTTACAATGCTAAAACTTTGAAATAAAGACTGTCGTGTGACGTTCATGACAGGGCTGTATAGCTTTCGTACTGAGCGATATAAAATTAGTCTTGACCCTTTTCCAACAGATAACTCTCAAATTGTATTAATTTTAGAGTGGTTTATGTGGCATGACTGATATAATTTTCGTGCGCAAAAGTTTCACGCTTTTGTTTTGCCCGTTCTATTTTCTGAGAAAAGGGCACAAAGGGCTTCATCCATCGTTCTTAGAACTGTCAATCATTGTTGGAAAGCGAAAGCATGCGTAGTGGGTCATTATACCGAGAATTGTCTGACCGAGAGGACTTTGCATTTACGTGCTCCAAGCTGAAATTATCTCCTAGAGACTGCTCCTGATTGGTCAATGAGACAATGCTATTTCCCCCGCGCCCATTCTTACGTCAATGATCTCTGACCTGCATTACGTATTTGAAGAACTAACCAATCAACAACCAGGATCGACATTATTTTTAGCAAAGGGAAAGTCCCTGTCAAAACGATTGAAAAATGCTCAAAACGCCCTCGCAGAGCACAAACTCATCCAGTTTACATCGTGTTGTTGAATAAGAAGGAAAGCCCTTGTAGTACCCCAGAGACGAGCAAATTTTGACCTGAGAACGTTTTCACACGGTTAAATTTTCATCACTTCGAATTGCAAGGTAAATGGAGTTTCTTGCAGAGAAATCTTATGCGAATTCGTTGTGCTTTAGCCGTTGTTTTGCAGCCATCAGTTCGAAATAATCTTCCAACTTCCTCTTTCGAAAACGTGCTTCGGCAAGCACCCACCTCTGTCGTTTTCAAAGGTTTTGATCGATTTTAAAGGTTTAGATCGTCGAAAAACGTTTATTAATGATGACGTTGGCTTCTTTCCTTCTAGATACTTTTGATAAAAGATGGCAAACATGGTTGGAAGCACGCCGCTACTCGATCAGTTGGAGGTAAGTGTTAATCTTGTGTTTGTCGCTTCAGCGCGATAAGATTTTTTTCACCCAGGGTGTCTAAATGCACTCGTTTTCGTACTAGAGTACAGTTTCTACAGTGTACATCGAAATTTAACGAATTCTGATTGCTTTGAATCGAAAACAAGACCTCAGACTTAAGGCCTACGTGTCGATTGCGATCGCGTGCCCCAACATTTCACATCACACCCACGTTCGCGGAAACGTTTCAGGCAGGGAACCTTATCTTCATGGCGTCGTTTTGTTTTTGGTTTCTTTCAGGTATTCCAGTATCTTAGAACGTTCCAACTGAATCACTTGACGCAGATGAACCAGTGGAACATTCTGCACGCCAATCAGCCAAGCGTACCAGAAGCCACGCCAGCTCCAGGATTTGAACGACTCGTACCTACTCAACGAGCAGACCAGCTTGTTCCCTCATCGACTGCTCAAGGTAAAGGACGTAAACCCGTCATAAATTTGTAGAAACGTACAAGCTTTCAATTGCGGCACACCCGAAGTTGTTGACGATCGTTATCGAAAGCGGAAAAAATGCCATGTCTTCTTAGAAGTCTTATCTCGTTTCGTTTTGTCTTTCAGCAGTGGACGGCGTTCCTCACATGTCTTACATGGAACACTTGACGAACGAAGAGGACGAATTTGATAACATTTTCAATGGTGCGCCAAACCTTCCAGACTACGCTGTTTTCAATTTCGATTTGGAAAACGGTGAGCGCCGGATTTCTTGTCTATTTTTCCCGTTTTGATAAGCATTCTTTAGACACCCCACCGTTGTAAAGTGAAACCACTCATTATGCAGATTCGGTTTCGAAACCCATCTTGTGACTTACATAATTGACATCTGTCAACCACTGGCTATTGTTCACTTAAATGGGTTTTGTGTGGGAGGTAAGAGTTAATATTCACCCCTCTGGGCAAAAAAAAAAAAAAAAAAANAAATACACTTTTCGCCCTGTTTTTAATCTATTTCATAAAATAGGTTTAAAACAGTTTTTAAAAATAGTATTTAAATACATTTAAAATAGTGTTAGGTTTGGTAAGGGCTGTTTTTTAATGTCTACAAAAGAAGGGAGTCCAAGCAAATTATAGGCCGTGTTGCGGAACATGAAGCAGGCACATATTGCAGCAACCGTTTTCTTTATGTGAAATGCTTCCTTTTAGCGACAAACAATGAAAAAAAAAAAAAAAAAAAAAGATGTGAAATATTGTGCATTTAATTTGTGTGTCTTATTCCTGCAGATATTGATCAGCCGCCTGACCTGTCAGTTTTTGACAAGTTCCAGGACCAGGATGAAGTAGCCAATGAAGTACCAAGGGAACAGTATCCACTCACAGTGATACCCACAGTGCTCCCAGTGCAGATGAAGATAGAGGCAAGATCTCCGAGTTGCTGTAACTCAGAGTGTAGTTATCCATCTGCCAGCCCACCCCACAGCCCGTCCATCAGTGAAGCTGGTTCAAATGCATACAGCACTGACGAGGGTATTGTGGAAGACATGAGCGACCTTAGCGACCTTGAAGGTGAGTCGGAAATTGCAAGGAACATAATTTTGATGAGAATCTTTACTAATGTGGCTTCCTGACTTCTTTTTAGGTGTTTCACACATGCTCAATTGTTTATTTTCCTTTTTCTTTACAGAAATCTTGAGCAATTTAGGTTCCCCACATTCAGTACACGAAGACGCTGAGAAACAGCCCCAAGCTGATGTTAAAGAAGGTAAGAACTATCTTGCTGCTTGAATGTAGCTCAGCTGTCTGGCAAATTTGTGGAAGAACTGCTGTTGCTGGTGTTTAATCTCGGGTTTTAATTATCTTTGTTATTTCCCTCAGAACCAGCTGTGCCTGTCACTCCACCAAAGGGAAGAAGAAAGCGTGGACCCAAACCACCAGTCAAATATCGAGGTGAATAAATAATACAATGTACAGTGTTATGCTGTTTTGTTTTCAATTGGATGTGAAGCCCATGTTTGGTGTCTAGATTTCTGGTTTATATATTTATTATTCTTTTAACCTGTATCTCAGGTGATGGTCCCATCCAGCTCTGGCAGTTTCTTCTTGAGCTTCTTATCAACGTTGAATGCACGAATTTGATCAAGTGGACCCAGGAAGAGGATTATGAGTTCAAAATCCTTCAGCCTGCGACAGTGGCAAAGATGTGGGGTAAGAAAAAGAACAAACCTACCATGAACTATGAGAAGCTGAGCCGTGGCCTTCGCTACTATTATGGCAAGAATGTCATTGAAAAGGTCCATGGCAAAAGATATGTCTACCAGTTCATGTGCAATATCCCCAAGATCCTTGGCTATGATCCCATGGTTAACAAGTGTGAAGATTTCGTGGAGGACTCGGTCTGTGGAGAACCAGTGATGTCGCCTGAAGTTGAAGGTCTACTTGTTTCCTCTTCAGTTGAAGAGGGCAAACTTGCAGGATCTCTCGACTTTAGTCTTCTGTTCTAGTTTTCCCTTTTTTTTTTGTTGATAACCCAAACGTGTTTTACTTCGGTAATAGTTTTTGTAGCTTGTATCAAGCACTAAATAGGCAGTTAGCCTCTTTTTTATGAATCGTATCGATTCGTCCCCCAACCAAAATTCTGAACAGCAAATTGTATAACTGTGCTTAAAGTTGTATCTAGTGAAACAGATATTTATAGGGTCATATAATTTGCTTGTCACAATTTTCATATTATGCATACTGTGTATGCTCAGATTCTCCATGTTAAGAAAGAAGAAATAAATACCAAAAAAAAAAGGTTTAGTAGGTTCCCGTAAGATGTCCTAGTTCATAATGGTCCAAGAAAGCTTTAAGTTGTTCATAAAACCACAGTTGTGAGGTTGTTTTAAGAATTTTTGCAGTTATTAACGTAGGTGTTTCCAATGTTAAAAACAAAGTGGCCAAAAAAGGCCAAAAAAGTTTGCAGTTAATTATAGTTAACAAGTTTCTCAGGTTGGAAGTGATAGGTGTTGCTTCTGCTAATGAGGAATCTTTCATAAAAGGAATCAATGAATTTGTAAAAGGAAGTATTTTCCAGTTTATTCCATGAGTGTTGATATTTTAAAAGTAAGTTGTGTACATTTGCTCTAAAAGATACAAAACAATTATTAAAAACAGTAGTTGTAAGTTCTCATATGTATACATGTTATGTTATGCATGCAAAAGAGATTTTTAATTCAAGTTGTATTTTTACCTGTTTTCCCCTCTCTTATTGCTACTGGGTAGCTTGTATATGTCAGTAAAAATACAGTTGTAAAATTAAGGTCAAGTAAAATAAAAACATATATAAAGTAAATAATTTGTGTTGACTATTCAATCTGATTAGAAGCTTCTTAAATCTTGCCTGGGGTTGCCATGCTCTTAGAGTTTTTAGAGAGTTTGAAAAAAAAAAAAGGATATTAAATAGCCCTTGCCGGGTGGGGGTATCCCCCATAAGGGACTGGACAGGTCGCTTCGCCCACGAGTTAAAGTACAGAAAAAAGCAAGGGGAAGGGCTTTTCCAAATCTCTCTTACAAGTATGAGGGGTTGCAGAGGCCTATTTGGGGGTTTGAAATTACAGATTTCAGAATTTTTTAAAGAATAAATTTTTTTGTTGAGTGAAACGATTTCTGCGGGACTTACTTTCAGGGCCGGTTAAAGCGTATTGGAATGGATATGTGGGAAAGCTTTTCTGTCACAAATGGAAGGAGTTATGGTTCTCAGGGCGGGGAGAGCATCCCATAAGCACCCCCCTCTCCCCGCCACAGGAAGCCAATTAACACGAAGAGGTGAGAAAAAGACACCCGGTTCATTTGAAAACAGAGATACAGAAACAATGTAAAATCGAAAAAGGTATATATGGAAAATAAATAAATGGCTTTATACAAAAGTGACCGACTAGTTTGTTGTTGTATATGAAATCACGCGTTAGTCATATGAGCAGTTCATTCTGTCCAGTCTGGTTCGAAGAGAAGGGTCGATTTCGAGGAGAATTTGAGGCAGCAGAAGTGTTTCCGGCGGAAGACTCGATGAGTCAGGTAAGATCGCGAGGCAAAGCGTCTCATTTTGTCGAGCGGAAATCGCCTTCTTCGCCGATTTCTGTTCTGTTTTTGACACTGAAACGCCAATCCAGCGAACAGAGGTACAACGAGGCATTGTCTTGCTTCGTCTGTGATGGTTTGTTGTGCTTTTGCAGTGGTTTTGAAGCCATATTATTGTAGAGAACATGACACATTGAGCCATAGTCCAAGGAAATAATCACATCTTTGTAAAAAAAGTCAATGGGAATGTCGCTCTCTCCCCTCCCTCCCAGTTTATTCTTGAATCAAAGCCTTGTCACTCTCTACCCTCCCCTCCCTCCCAGTCTAGTCTTTAATCACGAGAGTTATAATAAGGCCCTGTTGGCTCTAAGACAAAACTTATCATTTGGCGACAAATGTGTCAATTACGATGACCTGAGGAAGGATGAATGTCAAGAAACAAATGAAGGACTTTCTTGCCTGTTAAAAAAAATCACTGCCTCCAAAGCTAGTCGATGACATCTTTGAAGTTTGGTGGCACTTGTAAAAAAATTTGTGGGTGAAAAAATAGTTTGTACAAACACTCTTTAAAATAGCCTCCCACCCCCAGAGGGGGGAGGGGTACTTTGGGAATTTCTGGGTGGGGATGTGTCACTGGGACCCTGAAACCCTTAGCCTATACCAGAA